TCTTCAATTTCAATGCATCAGACAAAAGGCTGCCCCTCTAAGTATAGAGTCAAAGCATGCAAATTGTTTCCAAAATGTTATTGACCTCTGCCAAGCGGCAGCGCCCAAGACAAAGCCGACAAGCCAAGCGCAAGAAGATTCCTCTGAGTAGGCATATTCATAATTTTGCTGCAGCACTGAGTAACCTCTCGTATTCCAGATTCCTAAGTCAAGAGAAATGCCAACGCGGCGACGTTTTTTCCATGTGTTGACAATAATTTTGCCTTTGTTAGTTCTTATATTATTATTATTATTTTTTTTTGTCTTTTCGGCTACCTTGGGCCACATTGGGCAGGCACGCCTACACACTACTCCAGTGGATACTCTCTCCTTCTTTGTTAATTTTACAATATAATTGCTTCATTTCGGCACGGCACACACATGTTCAATATCGTGAGCGGAACGATCCTTTATTTTTATTTATTTTTTCTCTTTTCGATATTTATTACGAACAAATGACAGCTAAAAGTGCCTGTCCAAGTATCCACTTACAGTTCTTGCCTTGACAAAAGCACTTGAAATTCACCCAGTCACAGATCATTTAGTCTCTGTTCTACGCGCGCGTGTGTGAGTGTGTGCGTGTGTGGGCATATGCATAGGTGTGTGTTCGTGTGCATCTGTGAGAAGCTACCAGTTAACAGGGGTCATCACTTAATGAAAGCTTCTATTATAATATGTTGCCAAGTATGAACTCGGTCTAGCATTGAATCTTTTTGGAAGGCATCTCCGAACCCCTGAAGTATATATACCCCTGATTGGTATCAACAGGTAAGCTCCATAGCTGCGTCTTGCAGGTTGCACGTATGTCGAATCAAAACATTTTATAGCTGCCAATGGCATGATCGGAATATAAAGTTCTTGTATACACAACTTTTTTAAGGGATATCTTTATCATTGCATTTGATTTGCACACCGGAAATCTATGAGGTATGATTGATAATATTATTTATTGATAGACCTTTTCTCTTCTGGGCTGCAACCTCTGTGATGTTATCGTAATCATAGATCTACAATTATATACCAGCTTGCATTTTCCTTGTCCAGCCCAAGTTTTTTGCTTCGATTTCTAGACATTAGTTTCGTTAACCGTTTCCCGCTCTTTAATATTATTAACCCTACCTCAGTCAGCCAGTCAGTTAGTAAGGACAAGTATTTTAATAAGCAGAGGTGTATAATAATAAAGTAGATACCCTCTTTGTATTTCTTCATAATCTTTCTTCTGGATATTCAACTGAAAAAAACAATTCAAATTAATATTCATCATCTATTTTTTTTTTTGAGTATAAAATTTCATTTCATCTTGTTTAAAGTCTATAGAGTCTATATCTATGTCTATATCCTTTCTATATCTATACTATAGACATTACAGAAACGACTTGAATGGAGTATATATTAACACTAGTCCCGATTCACCTATGCTAGTACATACATAGGTAACTACTGTTCTAAGGAAGACTAAGTAGTTATACTTTGTGCTATGTATCTAGGCACATTAAGTGCAATATGCAATGTAAATCTGATTAAGAAAAACATATGTTCAAAGCCGTATAGACAAGATCGTTAATAACCGTGTAATCGTAATTTTAATATAATAATAGCCTTCATTTCGACTTGCTCGCCAAGAAAAACAAAGTTTAAGCTAAAAACGCCCAAATTTACATGTAAACGACCAAAAACTGATCAATATACAAGTATGCATACATATATTATTACATGGGATAGAATTTTCCATGAGGAACGTGTGAACGGGAAAACCCACAAAGGTAAAGAAACAAAAACATATACAGATTAATAGAAAGAAAAACAACACTAGCTTCAGTAAGGCAACGCAGGGTAACAAATAGCGAGAGAGAGAGAGAGAGAGATAGAGAGCGGGAGAGGGAGCGATAGCGGGGGAATATGGAAAATTGTCAATACATAAAATGCAACAACATAAAGATTATGAAACAGATTTTCTATTTGGCTTCGGTTCGATTTCGGTTTCGGTTTCGATTGGAGTTTCTGCTGTTAGTTGGAAGAGAACAAACAGACCTAAAAACTAAAAAATACAAGAGACGAGCCAGTGATAAGGTTAATCAAGGGGAGCGACAACTCCGACGGCATTTCCATATTAACATAATCAATGAACTATTGAAACGTTTCCATGTGTGTGCGTGTGTGCGTGTGTGTGTGTGTGTGCCCGAGTTGGTTGGTGCCGTTCGTTCTTAAGGGGCTCAGCTACTATCTTCCTCGGCCAAGAGCAGGGGCAACACACAAAAATGGGCATAGTTAATTTTTAAATGCACTTACGGAAAATTTTCAATCAGCAGCCAGAGCAACAGTTAGGCAATTGCCTGTCTGACCCCCTACCGATGAGAGCGCTCTGTTCGTCTGAGCAACATGTGAGCCTAAGTATACACGTGCACACACACGCACACACGCACACACTCAGACGATCACCAAATGATATTTGAGTAAAATTGGTAGACACTGCAGCCAAGTGAAGTGACAAATTCGACAGACAAGCACTTTGGTTGCCTGGACGCACGTGAACCGTTTTCTCAAATATGTATGTATGCATGTGTATCTGCGACAAAGGATAACGCAACCAAAACTGCAGGAGTTCCTCAATCGCATATCAATTGCTGTGAGAAGGAAACGTTTAGCACTAAACACTTAAACGCCTTCCCAACAGAGAGAAACAAAATAAATCAAGTAAGAGTCGGGCATTCCTGACTAGCAGATACCCTAAACGCGGCGACAAGCTGCCGTTACAAACATTCCAGTTTCCCATTTAAACATACACATGCACAGAAACGCGGCTATGGATCTTCTTCCCTTTGCCCCACACAATATGAAATGCATTCTTCGGATTAACTTCGGTATTTATATATTTATGAAATCAGGGCTTAAATATAAGTTAATATAAGGACTTAATATAAGTATTCAAAAGAGCTAATTATTTTCATACTAGTAATATATGCAGAAAACCTATGCCCATATGAAAATATGAGGATATCTGCGTCTGTATGTTACATACATTTACAGAAAACCAATATACCCTATTCAAACATTTTCAATGGGTTCAAGGCATTAAATTAAAAAAAAAAAAGTAAAAAACCAAAACTGAAAACCCAAATACCCAAAAGTCAGGCATATTATTCTTATCTACTGGCACATAAAGTGCCAAAAATTATGGCAAAAGGAAATTGGAACCCGCCGACGCGACGCGACGTCAACAGCGCTGTCAGCGTCAATGTCAATGAGATGAGAAGAAAAGAAGCGAGACGGGAAGAAACGAGACAGGCAACGGGGCTACGTTCCCTGCATACGACTACTACAAAATATTTGCATACACACATCCGAGGATGAGGCTCTTCAAAATGTAGTTCATTGGTTGCACCAATCACATACATATCAGACATGAGAATATCTACATACAATAATTCATTAAGTTCACGAGCTGAACGTGCTACAATCTCGCGTTGAAATCGGCTCAAGTCTTTTGATCATGCAAACTATTTGCATGTTTTTACCAAGAACCGAAATATTGTGTTTATTTGCCCATTGATCTTCATTAGAAGTGGTCAATTCACGCCACATTCATCTCCAGCCGAAAAGTATGCTGCATAATTAAATATTTTCGCTGCTCTCAAAAGTATGTAATACCTAACTTAATTACTATTAGAATGATATTCTAATAAGAAAGTAAAAATATAAATAATACATTAATATTGTTAATATTTTAAACGATCGTCAACAAAAATTATGAGTTTGCTCGATTTTTGAAATAACGAATTCAATCTAAAATGAAAAATGAAAATTATAATAAAAATGACATATACCAAGTCACCAGTTTTCGCAATTATTATGTTTATGAAGACAGACATCTGTATAAGTAGAAACAGATACAAGTGTTAATATACATTATGCTAGAGGATATTCCCCCAAGGTGTTTTGTGCTTCAAAATAGTGATATAACTTTTTCATTCGATTTCCGCCCGTAGAAAATTTGAATACATCCGTACAATCTTGTACACCGCCTTAAATAATATCTTACATAGATATTTGAAAATAAGTGTGAACACATTAAATAAAGAACCAAATGTTGCTCTTTTGGTGAGCATCTTTTGACACGCAATTTCCATTCAAGAGCGGTGGAAATTCCAAGTGCAATAATTCCACAGTTGCCGGTGGGATTTCGAAAACCATTGAAACGGGTATTCATTACATTTATATGTAGAGAAAAAGAGTTTAAGGCCTGTCGGATGAAACATAAAACATAAATGGTTTGTTTCCTCCTTTAAAGGGAGGCAATTGCATAAGTATTAAACATTTGGCAATCTTAGGCTGGGTAACTTGTCATTTCTTTCTTTTTAACATGGTCCCTCACCCACCACCTATTTGTGTCAAGTATATGCAAATAATTGCATGAACATTGATTGCAACTTATTACATAATTTTGTTGCAAAGGTTTTGAAATCAAACGATTGAGATGTGCAAAATAAAAATAAAACGGTCGTCTGCAGCCAAGTCCGATGGGGGCCATCCCGATATCCTTAACGATAGTATCTATCGATAGTGCCATCGATATTCGTGCAGCACTATTTTAAACTGTGATCTTTTCGAAACGCTGGCGTTTTTCGAGAGTGAAAATTACCTGAAATTATCAATCAATTATAATCAATATTTTATGAGCGTCACAACAAGTATCGAATTTGGGGAATGTAGCTCTAAAGCTATGAGGAATACAGATTTTTACGGCGACCTACAGCGGCTGTGAATCGGTTGACTCCTAAAAACAAAAAAAAAACACAGAAAAAAGTACAAGCCACTTACATAAAGTAAAATCCATTTTTGTGTAACTAATATTTTTTACCTGATGGCAACGAATATATAGCAAATAAAATGTTATTAAATTTTTGTAATATATAAAAAGTACGGTGGCATCCATAAATGAATTTCGTAACATGTGGCAACCCTTAGAAGAAAAGTCAGCTGTTCCACTAGAAACCGTTCAGAAATTATTATGATCTCTTATTGAGTAGGGGAGTATTTATGTTCTTGACCTACACAGATTCCACTTTCGATAGATTTAATGGAATACATGCAGTATGTGGAACCAACACGCGCCGAAATGTTGGAGCAGCTAAGAAAGGTATGCGAATGTCGAGGTTATTGTTATTTATCAACCAGCTATTCTGTATTCTGCAGCGCGAATTGTATGTGCCGAATGTCGAAAGCTTACCAATTGATCAGCTGCAGCAAATCTACAACGGATTCATTGTGCCGCATCCGCGCCGGGAGCGACGCGAGCGACAGCGCACGCTGACCGAAATGGCACTGAAATGCGCCAATGAAATTCCCATGGACATGGAACAGCTAACGAAACGCATTAAAGTGGTCTGCATGGCCGGTGAAAAGCGTCCCATCCAGGTTGAGCCGCAGTCGCTGCTAACCATCTCTCCAAAACGCATCAAAATCGACCTGCATCGATGATCTTTCTGCGGAATCAAGTCATGGATTGCCTCTGCAACCTGCAGTTATGGTCAGTAATATTCTGCCGTATTTTTCTTACTGCTGGAGACATAAGTTGCTCGCCAGGTTGATGACAGCCTCAAAATGGCAGGTGAATTTGGCCCCAGCGGAACATCAATTGAACCTAGTTGGTCCCGGACGTAGCTTATAGCTCTCCAGTGTGCCATCCAAAAGGAGTGAGATAGCATTACCCACGGACACACAATAATGAGCGAGACAGAACGATAATTGTATGTGGCCACTTCCACGGAAAGGTTAACAAACGTTTATATCAGATATTTAAGAAACGCATTGACATCTCATTTATTTGAACAATTAGCATTTGAAATGCCTTCAATAATTCATAAACGTATTTCCTAGCTTTTGGTCATTTTCTTATATATACTATATGAAGACAGACATTCCACTAATCTTTTTTCCTCGGATTCGGCAAAAGAGATCCATCCTCTTTACACGTAGTAAAGAGAAAAAGTCGAGCAAAATATAGAAGAAAATTCTCGATGTTTGCAACAATAATAGCAGAAATCAACAATCTAGCAACTAAGATAAGATGATAAAAATTAATAGTAATGTGAGCATGGCTGAATTCTGTTTCATGTTTTTATTCTTCAAATTGTTGATATCAATAACAATTCGACAATAAATTATTTGTTGGTTTTAAAACGAGGGCCTAAGTGAATCATAATGGAAAATAACTCATGCAACGAGTTAAATTTATACTCATTTATATTCAATAAAACGAAACTTCTATTAAAAGAAAAGACTTGTCCTGACTGACTGACCTTTAAACTTGAAGATATTTGAGAAAATTCATTTAAGACGTGTTTTTTCACATTTCACAAAATTCATCACTCCTGTTTGAACAATTGTGGTCAATGAATGTATAACCAAAAGTTTAATTTTAGCTCGCCAATGGACTAAAGAGAGATCGTCTAGGAGAGCAACACTTGCTAGATCTCCTAATAAAGGTGAGCAGAACTCTGAAGAAGCTCTGATCAGAGCTGAGGAGACAAGCCTGCTCCTATTTCATGTAATTGCTGGATCCCATGGGATTGTCCTTACCGGACATCTGGACGACGTCCTCTATCAATTTTGCCATATTTAATTTTACCACTAAATATGGTTCTGACAAAGAGCCTTGGATGAAACAGAGGAAAACAAAAGTCTTTGGATTTCTTTCCATGCGTTTTTGCGACAGATATGGACGTTGGACACAATGGAAATATCCACAGATAAAATAGCTTCCGGTTACAAATATATTTGATTTCGCATACGGAATTTATAAGTTATACTTGGATAATAACGATACCCACATTTAATTAAAAGATTTTCTTATGTTAAAATGTTTGCCTCTTATTATTTATTATAAGTTAAAGTTAAAATATATAATATGAATGACAAGTTTTTACAAATGAACAAAATTAACGAACTGGCTTTTAGGGAAACTAATGTTAAGCTTGCGACTGAAATCAGAATTTTATTAATTAGGGAGTCGTATGGTATTCATTACTTCGCCATCGTCTGTTTTCGAGCTTGTTGTGTTGCAGTCTGTGCTGAGGCAAGTAACGTATTGACTGTTTGGGCTGAGGGCAGTGAAAAGTTGATTTATAGAACTTGATGCTTCCAAAATGTATAATTAATATAATTTAAAAAATATCTATGTACACTCCACCCACAAACTATAATTTAAGTAGCATCAAACTACAAAAAACGTTTTAAGTAAAATATATATCGTCTTCGACTAAGTAACTTAACTTTCTGAATTTCATAAACTATTAGGTCTTGTGTATATCAGTTTGCCTAAATTTACTCCTGTTCATTGTCATCTTCTGTAGTCGCCGTTGTTGTAATTTTAATGTCAGACCTGATGTTATAAACTAATGTAAAGGGTTTTGCGAGGCAATTAATTTATATAACTATTATTTAAGTAAGTTAAGAAATCAATTTTAAAGGAAAGTTTCTTTTGGCATCGTTTAGTTAACTGAACTGAATTTTATTAACTAGTTTTCTGTGTATTTAAGTCTGCCATAATTTACTCCTGTTCATCGTCTGTTGTCGTGCTGATGTTTGGCTGTGCAGTGAAAGGTTGACTTATGTATTGACGTATCTTTGATGATCTCTAGGTATATACGGATTATAAATAATAAATATGTATATATACATACACTTCTTCCACTAGCAATAATTTAAGAAAGGGTCCTAAGGAAACATATTTTTTGGCCTCGACTAGGTAACTAAACTTCCTGAATTTTATAAACTATTGAGTCTTGTGTATTTAAGTCTGGCTTGATTTACTCCTGATCCATAAACTCGTCATCGTCATTATCATCTTCATCATTGTCCTCGTCGTCGTCGTTATGGTTGTTGTTAAGCTGTCTGCCCTGTGGCAAGGGATGTACTGGGTATGAGGGCGGCATGGGTGCAGTGAGCTGTTGATTGGGGCGTCTTCCTGTGGGTCGGTAGTACATGTTGGAGTGTAGATAGTCACCAACCTCGTCCTCGTCAGCGCCCTCCAGGGAGTCCTCAATGGTCCGCGAGTAATCCTCGATCTCTTCATCATACAAATGAGGTGCACCATTTGCAAAGGATGCAAATCGCATCGGATCGCGTAACGAGCTTATAATACTCCATTGACGGCAGTGCGGACTATTGACATGGTCACGCAGCTCAGCCAGAGAGCGTGCCGTCTCATTGACAGCCTGTTCATAGTATTCCTCCTGTGTAAGCAGGCGACGTTTGGGTGGAAAGCGGCGTCTATAAATGCTGTGTGCGTATTTCTGCACCGACTCCGGACAATAATGGGCTATAAAGGTGAGCACCAACAGCACCACGCAGGCACTAGTATGCCAGCTGCTGAAATAAACGATTGCAGCGCCAACTGCCTGTAGCACCCACATGATAATGTTCTGCGAGCGCGGATTCTTGGGCGGTCCGATGCGATAGCATACCAGAAACGACACCAGCCCAGTAATCGCCAAATACCAGAGCACATACTCGCGATAGGTGACCAATATAACCCGAATGTTATCCGATAGCTGTTTGAGTATGTAAAGTCCGATAGTCCATCCACCGATTAGTACGCCGTACATCATGGGTCGGCGCGGAAAAAGCTTGGCTGTGATAGCAATGATTACTAGTAACGAGGCACAAATGCCTAGCACCATACCGGCCAAATAGTAGAAGACGTTGTTCTTAGCCAACCGACTGGCGCTCCAGAAGAGCGCCATGCCAAGGGCCAGCTGTACCAAGCGCCACATATCTACATTTACGTGCCTCAGGCTGATGTTGTATGGCTGATTAGAGGAAACGCCGATGCACTGCTGCTCAAACGGGGACATCTGAATGTTTTGGCGCTTTTGTGAGAAGAGCGTGAGGCTAAATAGCGAACGCTTTTCATTGTAGTGGTTAAGTACTTCGTCGGGCGAGCGCCCGCCATATTCAGAGTAGTCATCACTATCAATGGAAAGTATTAGCTCCACCGTTTCAAATAGGCTGAATAGTGAGCGTGATTTTCCCGGATAGCAGAACGTACGCAGCACATTTTTGCCATAGCTGTTTGCGGTTATATCAATTGATGTGCCTACCGCAAGGTATACGGTGTCAGACAGTGGTCGACCGCCAATTGCCGGCATCGAAGATACCGCAAGCAGACCTATTAGTAATTGTAAGTACATTTCTCTTTTCTCACTGGGCAGTTGTAACTTTACTATTTTTTAACGCTTTTCAATTGTTCTGGATTTATAAGTCAATTTTTATACACTAAAACAAACAAGTAAACAAATTTATACAGACAGATTTTGCAAAGCTGCGAATGAGTATTGTTTGTATCTGGCTGTACATTTTTTCTACTCGATACGCGATATTTCGATACCCTTATCGATAGCTTATGGAGGCCAGTCGATTGACTGTTGAAAACATATATATATATATATATATATCGATATAATTTTAGAATTTGGTTAATCGATATTATTGTCGATTGCTTGACATCTCTAACAAGCGGCACTGGTTACGAGCTGAACGACAGATTCCATAGTATTTTTGTTTTCGCCACACTCCAACTTAATTAAAGGTAATTCAATAACTATTAGGAAACGTTTTCCATTGTTAAACAGCACAATAGCTGCGCTCTGTGTCGGTATTACAGTTCTTACGAAGCTCATTGTTTGACTATTGCTTCCTGTAGCATAACCTATAAAGTTACATAATTTGTATATCTTAAAATTTGAAAGCAGCTTAATATTATTAAAGGTGCAGCAAATAATAATAACACTAAAATTTACCACTTGCACCCATTTATCATGTTGCAGAACAAAATGTCGTTCGTGAAAAATGCTCGCCTGGTGGCCCTGCGTGGCGCTCGCCTAAGCCAGAAACGCTCCTACTCGGACGACATGAAGCTGACCTTCGCTGCTGCCAACAAGACCTTCTACGATGCCGCAGTGGTGCGCCAAATCGATGTGCCCTCTTTCAGCGGCTCTTTCGGCATCTTGGCCAAGCATGTGCCCACTTTGGGTAAGTGGATCGTCGCTGGATCTTTGCAACAAAATCACAAGCGCTAACCAATTGACCTTTTCTTTCTACAGCTGTGCTGAAGCCAGGTGTTGTGCAAGTCACCGACAATGATGGCAAACTCACAAAGTACTTTGTCTCGAGCGGCTCAGTGACTGTCAACGAGGACTCCTCCGTGCAGGTGCTTGCTGAGGAGGCGCACAACATCGAGGACATCGACGTCAGCGAGGCCAGACAGCTGCTTTCCAAATACCAGTCGGCGCTGAGCTCCGCTGGAAGCGACAAGGTAAGTTCGCATTTGGTGTACTTAAAATGAAGAAAAATATGTACCTTTCGTCTCTTGTTGCAGGCCAAGGCAGAAGCTGCCATTGCCGTGGAAGTTGCTGAAGCGCTTGTCAAAGCAGCCGAATAAATTGCAAAACTCGTAAACAACAAATATTTAACAACCGAAACCACAACAACAACAACACAACAACATCAACAACAACAAACAGCTTACAATTGTGTTTAAAATAATTAAAACAAAACAAATTTGAATCCGTTTGCGTATGCAGACATAAATTTGTTATGAAACAATAAAATAGGCGAATATGTATAATATATCGTAATATTACCGAGGCCCAACAGCAGCACCAGCAACAACAACAACAACAACAGCGCGGCCCAACTATGATCAACTTTTTTTTTTTGTTTTTTGTTTTTGTTTTGAGTTTCTATCGCGTGTTTGAGCATTTGTAAAGCCCCCGAAAGACAAAACAAAACATTGAAAGAAAATGTGAAATGTAACGAATTAATTATGCAAATGTGTTACAGCGTTGGCGTTCGCGCAAGTGCAGCAGCTAGGCGCCAACGCGAAGGTCAAGTTTATGGTGGGCGCCAGTGATATAGCATTCTTTCTGCCGCCCCTCCCCGTAGGAGTCGGCGTGAATCGACGCGAGACAGTTTTCCCGTAAATCTCCAAATATTTTCAGTCATAAATCAGCGATTTTTGAATCTTGGTCGATAGAGTCCTTGAGTAATAAGAACAGAGATTTCCCGTACCTTTTATATATTTAAAGGGTAGGGCATATCTTAAGGGTATCCAAGCTTTGAGAAATTTCAAGGAGCGGGTGCCATAAAAACAGTGATTTATTTTTGTAGCTAGCTCGTATTACGATATTCGCCGTTCAGAAAAAATCAGAGTTCTGTGACCAGGGTTGCCAATTGCTGCTTTAAAAAGTGTCTAAATTTTGCAAAAAATAATTCGATTTCTAGCACTGGATTGTCTTGAAGAAAGCAAAAAATCAAAAAATCCTTAGAAAATAGCCAAATTTAGCTATTGATATCTGGATTGTTAAAAAGTCGGTATTCGTTTAACAGTCGGTTTATTTTCTATTTTTTTTTTTCAAACAAACAAAAAAAAAAACAATCTATTATTAAAAAAAAAAATTAAAATAACTTATGGAGTCGTAGAGTTTGGTGCACACAGGAATAGGCCAATAGGTCGATAGAGGTAGAAGTCATAGGTTTGGAGGTCTTCGATGTACAACCACATGTGCATGTGCTGGGTTGGTAATTGTGGACGCCTCCAGTAGTGCTGTGGTGTTTTGTGGTGTGGGTGCGGTTGGTGCAGGTGCTGCTGTTGTGGATTTCTACTTAAAAGTGAGGCGGGCCATATGTCTGGGCAGGTGCATGACCGATGGGCAGAGCCTGCTCCTCGACAGGCGCGGGCAAGCTTAAAACTGGGCTTTGGCTGAAGGCTGGTGCAGGTGCAGATTCGGGAACACTGAGCACAGGCGATGGTGCTTGCAGGGGAGCGCTGTACTGAATCGGAGCTGGGGCGCTATATTGAGCCTGAGCGGACGATTGAGCATGGGCGGTATACTGAATCGGGGCAGGTGCTGGGGCACTGTAGATGGGTTGTGGTGCAGGCGCTGGAAGGGGTGCACTGTAGACAGGAGCACTGGCAATGGGTGCGTTGTAAACGGGCGCTGGTGCCGGAGCTGCAATGGGTGCACTGTAGATCGGTGCCGGTGCGCTATAAACTGGAGCCGGGGCTGGTGCACTGTAGATTGGAGCCGGGGCTGGTGCACTGTAGATTGGAGCCGGCGCTGGAGCACTGTAGATAGGAGCTGGTGCTGGTGCACCGTAGACTGGAGCTGGGGCAGCAACTGAAGCATGCTCGTGAATGACACGCACCACCTTGGTGGGCGCATGTACAGAGGGTCCGGTAACATGGTGATTATGGTGATCATGGTTTTCGTGTAAGACCTTGATAACCTGTGGGCCGCTTTCAACGGCGTGACCACCGCCTAGATTTGCTGACTCTTGGTGCACGACCTTGATTACTTTGACAGAGGCGGGTCCACTGCTATGGTAGATGGGCGCTGGAGCAGCGGATCCACCAGAGATGACCTTCACCTTGTAGACCTGTGGTGCGGGACCGTAGCTGTAGCCGCCGGCATAGCCACCGCCGCCAGAGTGGCCACCGCCAGAAATGCCGCCCTGTTGGTGGATAACTTTGACCACTTGCACGGATCCATGTCCATGCGAACCACCATAATGACCGCCATAACCGCCGCCATATCCGCCGCCATATCCGCCGCTATAACCACCGCTACCACCGCCCAGACTGAGGCCTGACTTGCCACTTCCACCGCCACCGCCACCACCCCCGCTGCCGCCGAGCAGACCCAGAAAACCAGCGTTGGCCACAGCAAAAAGCGCACACAGACACACAAAGACCTAATCGCAAGAGGAGTATATCAAATTGGATGCATGTGCAGTGTATTTGGTCGTGGACGGCGAATGCTTACCTTCATGTTGACTACTATTCCTGCTTGGGCTTGACGACGACTCTAATGCCAAATTCTACGTATTGTGTGCTCTTCAAACACGACTGATGTCAATCCACCGGCAGCCGCGCGCTTTTATACCATCCCAATGCGTTGTAAGCCGCAGCAGCTGCTGTAACCAATAATGCTCATGATGGGCTTCATGATACGAAATTAGCAACGCAATTCCAAAACAACGCAACGCATCCCAAACTTTTCAACTAGCCCTGCCCAAGCCCCAACGTGGAGCCAGAGGCAGAGGCAGACGCAGACGCAGAGGCTGTCGTTAGGGCTGAGACTGAGATGGTGGAGCCAAACAAAAGCATTTCATTAACATTTGCAATGGCCAGGGCCAGTTCGTAATCATCATCATTGTGAAGATCATGATAATGATCATTGAAGATGATGCAAAGTCGGCTTGTATAGAAGTTGCCGCCGTCGCTTTCATTTTCATATTCATTTTCATTTTCATTTTCATTGGACCGCACACCGCACCCAGTTACATAGTTCTTCATTTCCATTTCCAGTTCAATTTCAATTTCAATTTCCATTTTCATAACGTTGTCCAATTTCCAGTTTCCAGTTATGCTACATTTCGTAAAGGCCCTTTAACGTAACGTTGCAACGTCTTTTGGTGTCGTCTGCATTTCCGAAATTCCTAATTAGCATGAAAATGAAATGACCGTGGCCGTTGACGCTGACGCTGAAGTTGCTGTTGCCGTTGCTGATAAGACAACATCGATGCTGCCCCTCTGGCAGGTGTCTCTCACTCTCCCTTTCCCTTGCCCTCTCTGTCTTTCTATGTGCGTGGTGTCATTTGCATATGGCTTGGGTTGGCTCACCCGGCGGCCTGCTGTCTAACGCTGCCCACGTGAGCCAGCGCCGTCAAGCCCAAAGCCAAAAACTCTCTTAAGCTTTATCTCAATTTCGGGCAATAATTTCAAGGTGAATCGGAATTGTCTGTGTTCCGAAAAATATGTGTGTTTTGTCAACTAAGCCAACATCTCGGCTCAGCCAGCCAGCGTCTGGTTATGTAAAATTCAAAACCAACTGCCATTTAATACACACGAGTATTGTCTAATGGTCATAAACCGACAAGCATCAACATCAGTAATCACTAATGCATTAGTTTGTGTGTGCATGTGTGTGTGTGTGTGTGTGCGCGTGGTAAATGTGTCCCAATTAGTGTGGGAAACACAGATTCCATCAAAATACTTGAGCTATGCCAACGAATATCTGCCTGCCAATTGGCATCTTTCGCTTAGTCAGCTCGCGATTTGTTGCTTCATTGTTGAGTTTTGGTTTTGAGCGAAAGCTGAAAAGTAATCATTCTTCCTAAGGAAGAATGTCCCTACTTATTGATATAATGGAAAAAAGGAGAGATCTGGCATTATTCGTTTCTTTTTGATTGACATTTAAGCTGGATCTTATTAAAAACATAAAAAACAAACATTTGTTTATGATTCTTGAAGATTTGTGCATTCTTCCCTATCCTGTAATTTATCAAATGCTGTCTGATAAGCCGTCTTCCAAAGTTTAATCCCGACTCGTGGTGGACTTAACGCGCATCAGGGCCAAATTGGGAAATTTGTAATTTCCTTTTACGAGACGACTAAAACTAAAATCTGAAGACTTCGACGTATGCATCACACTCGACAGAGAGTTGTAGGAAAACAGCCCCATGATTTTCATAGGGGCTCTCACAGCCAGAGTAAATACTTTTAGCTATTAAGTCATTTTAGGCCTATAAATCGCGTGCAACAGCAGGCCTTAAAATATTACAAATATGCAGAATTCTTAGTTTAAAGCTCTGCAACTCAGACTCGAGAATGTCGACGGGGGCATTTTACACGGAGGAATTTAGCTTAAATCCCATTCAAATTATTTAATTTGATTAACATCTTCCTTACGATGGCAGACATAATAGAATTTGCTCTCGGCAAGACCATAGGTCGCAGCAAATCAGTCTAGGGGTCAATGCCCAAAAGACTCAACAGGTGTTGCTCATCTGAAGATATGTCTTATCCATCTCAGGCCTTAAAGATTCCAAACAGATGGATGGATGATACGGAAGAATATATATACTGTGCGGGGTCCGAGAGGTCTTTTTCTGTATTCAGTATACCCTTTCTTACCCACAAATTGTTACAGGGTACAAAACTGCCTAAATATTATTTTCATTATGATTACTCTAAGCAATGATAATGCAATTATCATGATGATCATTATCAATACATTTTAACGCTAATGAAATAATAACGATAACACTTATAGGCATCATTTTGGATAGTGACTATTACTATTAAATTCCTTAAGGAACTACATGTACCGCTAGGAATCAAGTAAGAAACAAATACAAAGTACAAAGCTAATTGCCAGGTTGCAAGACATTGAGAGCATACTGCAAATCCTACCTGTCCATCTGTCCAACACCTCTTAAAGGCTGTTACCGGCCTCTCTGCACTGGTTAGGAATAAGGTCCGGGCGTGTTTCCTACAAGCCATTCCTTTAATAGGCCATTGACCTCTGGAAGAACTTGGCTTGGGTCGAGATGGCTGTTAAATCTAACCAATTTCAATGAAGTTTCGTTTTACAAAATGAACTAATAATTGTACCAAGGTGCAAAATAAAAGAGGAAACCCTCGTTAAACAGAATGTCGACAAACTGGATGACGCAACACTCCACTGAAAGTGTATCAGCCAAGTAATGGGGCTGAATAAAAACAAAGCTCTTAATATAGAGCCACAATTCAATAAATAAGACAGCTCTAAGATTAGAATAAGAGAGTGCGAAAAAATTGGGGAACGTTTGGGAACGATAAATCTAAACTCAGAGGCAGTAAACAGTGAACGTTCCTGTAAGGACATTTGAATTAGCAACAAATCCAAGAAACGGTTGTTTTTGCTTTTTTTTTTAATAACACTGTTTCTCAGCAGGAATTTTGGTGCTTTCAATTTTAGATATAACATCCTTAACACCCAGTTCCCTACTTGCCTTAAAATCCGCTTCTATTTGAAAAATATATTTCATGTCCATCGAGGCAGGAACCAAATTTGGAATCATCGGCTTCCGCCCATGCTAGTCTTGTGGTGAGAATCTTGAAGCTGAAAAATAAACTTTCGTTTATTAGACAATTTACTCACAGTTTCCAGTCAAGAGCGGTAAATTTAGCGAAAATCATATTTAACACATTTTCACAAAGATCTTTTCGAATAAGTTTCAAGCCGATTCGATTGTGAAAGATAATGTTGGAAATGTTTCGCCAATTGCCAACGGACTTTCAAGAAATACCCGAATCCAGTTAACTAAATATATCAATGAGTTTGTCCCGACTGACTAAACCAGGTATCAGGACAGATCAACGATTGGATTTAACAGATAAATCTTGTACTAGACTAAATATGTCAGTCTTTGATTAGCATTTTTGTCAGAATGCGAAGTTGAGCAGGGCTAGAAAAGAAAAGAATACTCTCAAAGAATGTAACTTATGACGAGGAGTTCAAGACACGATGGGTAAAGTTTAATTTTAAATGGGTGTTAACCTGATATCTCAAACTTCAAGCAGGTAATTTAAGCCGGGCTAGGAGAACCTTCAGAACCCTTTTCGCAGTAATAATGCTATTTGTTTAGGCATGTACAGATTTTGAATTTATTAATAAGAATACATTTTTACATTCAAAAAAAAAAAAGTGAAAAAAATAGGGTTGAAGCGTATCAGCGTTAGCGTTCCAGGGGACTGGAGATTGGCAATGCTTACTTCTTCTCCTTCAGCCAGCCGCCGTAGGCGAGGGGCGCATCGTAGGCATGTCCAACACGCAGCACAGATGGGGATGAAATGTAGGCGGCACGGTGCACTGGCACGACGGAGTGGACGACGGGAACGGCAACGGAGTCCACGACGGGCACATGGCGCACAACGGGCACATGGCGGACGACGGGCACACTGCGCACAATGGGAACTGTTGCGTAGCTGCTGCCATAGATGGCGCTGCTCTGGCCGAGGGCCAAGCAGGCGGCGAACAGGAGGCAAGCTAGGAAGAACTGCAAACGGTGTCAATAGGTAAGTAAGTGGTCCGGACAGCAGCTCCAGTGCAGATCGATGGAGGACTTACCTTCATGTTGATTTGATTACTGAATGATTTGTGTTGAATTACTCGGTCGGTTGGCGCGTTTATATAGCAATCGGAGAACCTTGTCAAAAGTAGATCAGCAAAACTGGCCGGAGACACAAATAGAACAGCATTTGAAAAACCCAATCGAATTGAAATGGCGTTATGTAAATTTGGCTTGTACAAAGGGAGGGATTTAAATGTTTGGCATTATTATTGAAATATTTATACATACGTATCTGAATGACGCTCGTCTGCCTCATCTTCTTGACGAACGCCCATTCAATCGGACAGAACAATGAGAACTTGTTCCTTACTACAATCGCTGAAGCAGCGATCCGGCTGCTCCGTGTCTGAGTCTGAGTCTGAGTCTGAGTCCGGCCAGGGTCTTTCCGCTTGTCGCCAACTTGTCCAACTAAGCGCCTTGATTGATTCTTTTCATTGTATAAATTTATCGATCGTGGTTTATTTGGTTATATTTATGGTATATTGTTTGCCGGACTAGTCAAATGCAAATCAATGCCCCCAACTTTGGTTAAGCTTCCCTATATGACTATATGCCGTGTTTCCAAAATACAAACTGAAAAGCTTGCAAATACAAAAATAAAATAAAAAATTAGTTTAAAAAAAATTGTTTGTTTGTCTTTTATTTTTGTTTCTCGTGCCTTTGTTTTGATTTTTTTTTTGTACCCTATACCCAATGAAAAGTCTAAAAATAAGTATTAAGATGTTAGTGAAGATGTTCGACTGTAAGATACCCTTTATCTATAACATACATTTATACTACCCTGTTTATATATACAACATCTGTCCGCATTGCGCCCATCTTTAGGAATAAGGGAGAGCCTACATACAACAGTTGGTGCCGAAAAATTTTAACTTGTCTTATGTAGATATAATTAGTTAATAAAGTAACGTACTTTTCTTATCTTTAATTGTTAAAGTCGACCAATGTATACGATAGGATCTCGTTGATCAAGAACATATATTTTAAATGGAGTTTGAGGTGCCTTCTTCTGCATATCCAATTTCTATTTACAATAAATAATAGGTATAGGTAATAATAATAATGATAATAATGATAATAATAATAATAATAATAATAATAATAATAATAATAATAATAATAATAATAATAATAATAATAATAATAATAATAATAATGATAATAATGACCCTAATAACATAATATAAGTATTAAATAAAGACTTTGGAAGCTAACCACGAATTATGTTATTTAGGGTATAACTTAGTCTAGCACTCAAGGACAGATTATTTATATTTGTTTCAATTAAAATGCTTCAGCTAAGCAATAAAATGCATTCCTTTATATGTCTTGACGGGCTGATGGTGGAAACGGTGGTCAAAGATTTGCTGTGTATAGTTTCGGGCTTATTGTTGGGCTTCAAGCTTCACAGTTCGGGACTAAAATGGAGTGAAATTCAATGGACTTCAAAACTCGTTTTCACTTATCAATGAAAAATATAACTTATGACGAGGAATTTAAGATACGATGGGTAAAGTTTATTATTAAATGGGTGTTAATCGGAGCTCTCAAAATTCAAGCATGTCATTTAAATGGGCTGAACAGATTATACTTAACATTACCTTTTAAGTTATAAAAGCTATATAGCAGAAACATTGTAGACATTTGTCATATGGTGTATATTCGCCTTAGATTTACAACAACCAATGACATTCACTTTCCAATAATGTCCATTCGGAAACCTAAGACTGGTTACTCTTGTTCGGTAATGTTATATGGTAATGCATGGAGTAAAGGAAATCGATTTTCTAGTGTATTATTGATTTGTGCAGCTTCAGACACACAAATTATATATATATGTATATATTATTAATCACTACAACGATCAGCGTCGATCTAGCTATGTCCCTATGTGTCTGTCTGATCGTTTGTGTAACGCCTAGAGACTTGAAATTAAAAACTTATATTCTTCCATTGTTTTTTTTTTCACACTATTTTATTCCGTTTTTATAATATCGAGAAATTACGATTATGGAACATGATTTTTTTAATCATATCTCAACAGAGTATGGCACGTAACTTCTCAATTATAAATAAGCATGTACAGATTAAAAATATTTCTCGCTCTACAAAATTGTTTATGAAAGATAGAGCATTACGCTTTTGCATTTACGCATATATACACACCTTGGCAATTTCACAAAGATCGGACTACAAACACCGAAGTTAATCAGGAATGCATTTCCCATGAAAAGTGCGGGACTAAGGGACGCAGAAGCATATTTCATATGTTAATTGTGTTTTAACGTATTTATGTATTGAAGGAAGATGAAATGTTTGTAATGAATTCTTTGCGCAGCATTCAGCAAACCTCATAGTCTGGCACTCCCGACTAGAGAACTCGTACTTGTTTTAAAAATTTTCTTTCTTAAGGCTCAAATGTGAGATTGTATCTGAGCCGAACTCCACTCGCCGTTCTTATTTAAAATTATTAAAAATTATTTACATAAACAAATGTATAGCTCAAATTTGCGAATGCGAAATAAATGTTAAAACAGAAACAAGTTTGTTTTGATGTGCTCTGTACGAATATTTCGTTAACAATTCCTGAATGGATTAATTTGTCAGGCTTGAACAGCTGGCAAACTAATCATTTGTGAGCCAGTTTGAATACATTTCATAAAATTGATTTTATAAATTCTGTTTGCATTTCGTTAATTATTTAAAGAACCAAATGAAGTAATATCTTTGGAATGCCCATAATAAATAACCAATTGAAAAATATAGGGGTCTGGTGATACAGTCAAAATGCAAATCTTTGCAATGTTTCATTAAGATACTTTCTAAAAGTGAGAGACTGATCAAGAATATGATACCCTATACATTGAGGTATGTCGGACTTGGCTACACACATTTCCACAGGGATAGTCGGTATACAAGCCTTTTAATACCCCGAACCCACCCATTGAAAATGGCTAAAAAGGGTATAATGTATTTGTGCAGAAGGAAGCATCTCCGACCCCATAAAGTATATATATTCTTGATCAGCATTAATAGCCGAGTCGATCTAGCGATATTCGTCCGTCCGTCCGTGTGTCCGCATGTATGAACGGAAGGATCTCAGGACCTATAAGAGCTAGAGACTTTAAATTTGAGCTGTAGGTCCTCCTAGTGCCCGCGCAGATCGAGTTTGTCTCCGATAATCGATAACTTACTCCGTTTCCAAGCAATCGATAAAAATCGATATCGATATCCTGTTTTTTGGGCAATTTTGGTAAATAATAAGAGCTAAAGTCACCAAACTTGACATATAGCTTCTAAAATAGAATATATATATGCAGTTGATGTTGGAAGAAGAGGGTTCAGGGTATCCCCTAGTCGGGAGCTCCCGACTAGAACCTCTAGTTTTAAATTTATCTTTATTACTACTAAAGCAAAAGGGTGCGTAGCGCCAGCTGCAAGTGGTATTGGAAAAAGCGGGTTCAGGGTATCCCTTAGTCGGGAGCTCCCGACTAGAACCTCTTACTTGTTTAGATTTTCACAAGTCAATTAAAACAATCAGAGGAATGTTTGAATGCATATGTATTAGCAATTATATTTGATTTGATAAATCGACCTATGAAAATAAGTTTTGACAACTAAGATGATGTCTTATACGATTATAAGTATAACCGAGTTTGATTCTCGACAAGATTAAGTAGCACATCTATTAAATAACACTGTCCAGGAACAAATTTACCTAATGGATGTGGCTATGCTTCCTTCAGCCTATTACATACATTTGCATAGAGCCAATATACTCCCTTTTGCCCCTTTTCAAGAGGTATAACTTTAAAGTATGGCAAAGAATAAAATATATTTTATATTATACTAATATCAAGCTCAGGTCAACATTGTTTGTTCGGTTCGAGGTCAACATTGTTTGTCATTACATGAATAATAACTAACAAATACCGAGAAATTATTAGATAGATAGACATTCTAAAGAAGTTCCCGGTAATATCATGATCCGACTCTGTCATCGCCGTTAGGATTGCAAATGTCTTGTCCCCCTTTCGAAGTTATAACTTATTGAGAATTTCAAGCGTCGAGCAACGAGCAAAGCAAAGCGCAGATATCATCTGCTATCTTAATTTTGTACCGTTCGGCCGGTTACATAATTGAGTTGGAGAGCGTTTAAGATTTGTATAAGATTTGTGTGTGCCACACAGCTCGACAAAGCGATGCTATCCGAAATCAATTTGGAGTTACGCCGAGTTTCACCTTTGGCTTTGGCTCGGATCGACCCGGATTGACTCGGCTCGACTCGGATCTACGCATTTGGCAACAACAGCTTGACTCGAAATGAATTCAAGTGGCTGCAGACGCCTCTGCCCACTGCCCACTGCCCACTGCCAAGGGCATTCAATGAAAGTCGCGTCGCTCATTATGATATAACTTTTGGCCCACAACAAGTTACCAAATTGGCTCTCTTTTTGTCGCTGTTGTTGTTTGTTTCGTTATGCTTTTATGTTTTATGTATTTATGTATTTATTAACAAATAATTTAACAATGACGAAGCGGGCGATGCTGGGAGGCCACTCGCTCGCTCACTTGTTGCCCCCGCATGCCCAATAGATATATGCATGGACTAATGGACTGTCTTATGACTGCGATGAGTTAACCTAGCGGAAAAAAAATAAAAAAAAAAACAATTCATTTGGTCTAACTAACTGGGCCGACGGGGTCTCTACCAGCCGGCGGGCTGAGCGCTGCTCCAACCGCCGCCTGCGGAACCACCGCTGCTCCAGCCACCGCCGCCGCCGCCTGAGGCTCCGCCCTTGCTCCAGCCAGCGCTTGAGACACCACCAGCCTGATTCTCCTCGACGCGCATCACTTTGAGCGTGCCGCGTTGCACGACATGGCCGCTCTTGAAGAAGGCACCCTGCGCTTTATCCGCGCGCATTATAATGGCTTTGCCCCGGTGGCCGAAGGTGTCAATCAGCTGGCTATTAATGGCATCCACATTGCCATAGCCGCCGCCACCACCGTACAGTGAATCCTCCTGCAGCACCAGCTGTATGATCTGGGGCAGAATTGCTTTCAGCTGCTGGTTGTGGTAGGAGGCGTCACCTCCGCCATAGCCATGACCAGCTGCATAGGATTGGCCGTAAGAGTAGTCAGAGCCGCCGCTGTTCGCATGATAGGCCACCGGCGCAGCTGGTGCTGCGTGCTCGATCACCTTGTACACCTGCTCGCCATAGGAGCCGTGACTGTGACCGCTGGCATAGCCATGTCCATAACTGTGTCCGCCTGCAGCGCCGCCGCCATTGCCGTATCCGTGTCCATCTTCCAGAATGACCTTGATAAGCTGCGTTGAGCCACCGCCGCCGCCACCATGTCCATAAGCATGTCCATGGTTATAAGATCCACCGCCGCCGCCGCCGCCTCCTCCATGTGCATAGACATGCCCATTTCCGTGAGCACCTCCGCCTCCACCAATACTAGTTGGTGTCGCTATCACATTATAGGTGGTGCCGCCAGCACCGCCGCCGCCTCCAGCTCCTCCTCCTCCTCCGCCCAGAAGCGACAGAAAGGTGGCATTACAGACGCCCAACGTGGCCAGTAGACAACAAACGAAGACCTGAGTCGAGGTGCAGAGAAGTGCATCAGTCTTGCATTCGCGCTGCTTATCCAAAGGAGCAGTTGGTAACTCACCTTCATTTCGGCTTTCTCTTAATCTCTCTCCCTCTCTCTCTTTAGTTAGTTTATGCTCGAGCACCTGTGAGCGTCGAGCTGTTCCCGGTCAGCGAATGATGCCACTTTCGCGTTGCCGATGATCTTTTATACAGACGCACGGGCTTCACGGCTGCGCTGCTGCGCGGCTTGGCAGCTCGGCAGCTCGAGAGCTCGACAGCTCCACAATTCCCGTTAAAGGGCCGTCGGGCGTCCGGAATCGGTTGCAACAACGCGCTGCTCGCTGCCAGCTCGTGACATACTATGTAAGCTGGAGCTGCCGCCGAACATGAAGAGCGATGAAGGCGATGCGCATGCAAAGGGGAATGCGAATGGTAATTGGAAGAGATGCGTAATGCGGCGCTGGTCCAAGCCGAAGTCACATCATTTTGCTTTCGTGGGCTAGCTTTCTGCTCATCCCAACTCTCGTAATTCACTTAAGATATTTGAAAAGCTTCAACATGCACAAAGATAACAGATATCTAGCCGAATATGCCCGACTAATAGATGCCCTGCAGCCAGCTCCGAGTAGCCCTCAACCTCTACTCCCAGCCCCACACAATGGAAACGGAAATGGAATCCAAAACAAGGCTATGCCTCGAAAATAAAGACATACTGGGCGGGTATAACTGAGTTTTGCGTGCTTAGAATCTCCACTGGAACGGAGTATATTTGTTTCGCGAATATAGAAACCTATATTTTACAGCTTTTGGAGCTGAAGACTAGACTTTTTATACTCAGTTTGGCGTTAAAGAATTCTTTATTTTGAAGTTGATCTCTTTCCTGACTTTTGTGACTTTATTACAGGGTATACAAAAACAAAAAATGGGGAAACATATTTGATATTTGACCTTCCCCCTCCTACAACTTTCATCATACAGGGTGCCTATTTGAGTATGTATTTTTAGCTATAACACACACGGTTACGTTTAACAATTACTTGTTGATGATATCTTATAAATGTATAATTGCCTTGCATACTTGTAAAGGGTATTACAGTTTTATCATGAAATGTGTAACGCATAGGAGACTTCTGCGACCTCATCAAGAACATACATGCATATATATTCTTGATTAGTTTGTCTGTTTGATTCTTTCAGTCTTTCTGTTGCGACAGGAAGTACACTCATATATGGAATTCAGCCGAACCGAGCCACTATATCGTTATTATATATCACCATTATACCATATCGTAACGCTCTATAGGATCAATCGGTCGAAAAAATAGCTTTATGTAAGTCGGAAATTAAAAGTTTCCTACAAGAACATTTCGAACCCACCAGCTTACAAGGGTATTTCATCTTCCGCGTCTCGAACAAAGCATTCGATCTTGATTTTTTGTTAATTTAGTAATTAACTCGGACGTACCAGAACATGGATCAATGCATCGTTTAGTTAATTCAACTATCTGGTGCGAGTCCCTGACTAGATTAGATAGTTGGTGTAAAAGACCTTAGTTTCCAGTGTAATGCTTGAACAAAATGCTCATACATACTTTTGAATACAATTAAGCGACAATTGTGAGAGTTTTACAGAGTTCAAAAATCATTAAGTTAGCCTCTGATTATTAAAATACGTAATAGGCATAGGCACCCTGTATTATTTTTGTTAATGTTGTTGTTTGTTTATTTGAACTCACAAAATATGCACCAATAACACGAACATTAGCGCATCTCCCAGCCAAACGGCCCATATCCCCCTCCCCTCCCCACCCCTTCGCTCAACCCAGCACCTGCCCAGATTCCACGTGTATTCAAAATTTACCGGCTTTTTGCATATGATTATCGATCTAAGCGAAGCTCTTGGCCTGCCCCGGGGCTGGCGCTGGGAATTGCTTTGGTTGTTATTGTTGTTGTAGTCGTTGTTGTTTTTGTTGTTGCTTTCGTGTGTTGTTGCAACAGAAAACAACTCGGACGCTTGTCGATTGAGCCAATCTGTGTTTGAGTCCAAGCCATGGACGCAGTCGTCGTCGCAGTCGCCGTCGCCGTCGCCGTCGCAGCTGGCGTCGCAGTTCGCTTATATCATGCAAGAGATTTCAAATTTGTTTAGTTTTGTGTGCATTTTTATATAAATTATTTAATGCGCATCGTTGCGCATTTTCAAATCCAACCTACAACCTACAGCCTCCCCCTTGCCCCGTTCATCGTTCCACTCAGCTGCCTTAGACTTAAGTTTTAGTCAAATTAAAAGCGATTGGCATTTTATCACTTGGTTATGTGCACAGTGTCAAAGCATCCAGCGAGCTATTCATGGAAGCACAGCTGATTATGCATGTGGATGTCCATGCTGATGAAGATGATTCCATGTGCAAATAGTTTTGTCGCTTCCATTATATGCTTCATCAATGACCAGCATTCCACTCGCCCGCTCTCATTGGCCACTTTCCCGCTGTTGCCGGCTGGATGCGTGGGCAAAAAGCCAAATTGTTGACTCATTGCGACTTAATTGATTCATCACTTAATTTAACGTGCGATTAGTTATGCAATTACAATTATTGTTTTTGATATTGCTGCTCATATTATTATAGTTTTGAGTATTATTTAAGTTATTATTATTATTACCCATTAAAAATGGGTATAAGTGTATATTGTATTTGTGCGAAAGCCAAATGTATGTAACAGGCAGAAGGAAGCTTCTCCGACCCCATAAAGTATATATATTCTTGATCAGCATCAATAGCCGAGTCGATCTAGCCATGTCCGTCTGTCTGTCCGTCCGTCTGTCCGTATGTATGAACGCAAGGAACCTATAAGAGCAACAGACTGAAATTTTAGATGTAGATGCTCCTAGTTCCCGCGCAGATCGAGTTTGTTTCCGATAATCGATAACTTACTCCGTTTCCAAGCAATCGATAAAAATCGATATCGATATCCTGTTTTTTGGCCAATTTTGGTAAATAATAAGAGCTAGAGTCACCAAACTTGACATATAGCTTCTAAAATAGAATATATATATGCATTTGATGTTGGAAGAAGAGGGTTCAGGGTATCCCCTAGTCGGGAGCTCCCGACTAGAACCTCTTACTTGTTTAATATTATGTTCATGCAAATGGCTTGGGTATGCAAAGTAAGTATATTGATTTAGATAAAGCTACCTATTTATATGGCTTGAATAAATCCAGTGGAGAGAGCTCGATTGGGACAGTACTTCGTTTAGCATAATTTAATGAATCTCACTTGAGATACTCCAAAAAAGGTGGACTTTGAAAGCGAAACGTTTTTTGGCCGACAACTTTTTTTTAATGAAAGCCATATGATAGTAGGGATCCGTACGCATTCAAAAAGGTATAACATTTTAAAATGAGATTATATTTACCCGAGATTTTCAAAAAAAACGTCAAACAAGTTGAGATATGCGAACCTACCCCGATTTTGGAAAAAAACGTAACCCCCTACTTTTTGGTCGATTTGGGTCAATATTTAGATTTTTATTTTTCTGATGCCAATCGATAGTACTGATCTATACGAGTCAAAAATAGTATAAAATTTCAAAATCTGAGATTATTTGGCCGAGATAGCCTAAACAAATTATCAAAAAAGGTTGATTTTACAAACGAAACGTTTTTTGGTCAACAACTCATTTCAACCCATCAATTTTTAATTTGTTTGAATTCCGTATGATAGTAGGGATTCGTACGAATTCAAAAAGGTATAACATTTCAAAAACAGGATATATTTACCCGAGAGTTAAAAAAAATCGTAAAAAAGTTTGTTTTTTAACTTATATATGTTTATTGTATTGAATCAAAAAAAACATACATTTTTATTACAAAACCGTTAACTTAGGTGGTATCTCGCCAATCCTGATTTGCTCCTCAGGCTTTATCGTGGACAAACGTCAAAGCCGTCTTCTTTGAGTAAGGCTGCACCGTCACGTAGGTAGTCGGTGGGCTCTCGGCCTTCTCCTGTGTTGTGGTTGGAGGAGGTCTCTAAAGGATCTTTTCTTGAGCCTTCTGACTACACACCTCTCAGCGAGGTTTCTTGTATGGGTTGGCGAGATGGCGAGATAATCAAAAAAAATCAACAAAAAAGTTTGATTATACCAACGAAACGTTTTTTGGTCAACAACTTTTTCCAACCCATCAATTTTTAATTTCTACGAATGCCATATGATAGTAGGGATCCGTACAAATTCAAAAAGCTATTATATTTTAAAATCAGATTATATTTACCCGAGATTTTCAAAAAAATATTCAAAAAAGTTTTTATATTCGAATCTACCCCGGGTAATAGCTCTCGGGTAATAGCTCCAAGCGGAGATATGACGTTCCAAAAACGACATTACTCCACGAGGAGATATGACGTTCCAAAACGACATAACTCCAAGCGAAGATATGACGTTCCAAAACGACATAACTCCGCGCGGAGATATAACGTTCCAAAACGACATTACTCCACGAGGAGATATGACGTTCCAAAACGACATAACTCCAAGCGGAGATATGACGTTCCAAAAACGGCATAACTCCACGCGGAGATATGACGTTCCAAAAACGGCATAACTCCACGCGGAGATATGACGTTCCAAAAAGCCAAACTTCGTGAAAATCGGATGAGATTTGACCGAACTATGGGGGTGGTAAATTTTGACCCATGGGTATATACGAATCTTGGGGTAAGATTTGGACATGAGTTTCGACTAAAAAATCGGTGTTCAGATTTGCATGCCAGTTTAATCTAGAGGGAAAACCATGAAGAAAAAGCCAAACTTCGTGAAAATCGGATGAGATTTGACCGAGTTATGGGGGTGGTAAATTTTGACCCATGGGTATATACGAATCTTGGGGTAAGATTTGGACATGAGTTTCGACTAAAAAATCGGTGTTCAGATTTGAATGCCAGTTTAATCTAGAGGAAAAACCATGAAGAAAAAGCCAAACTTCGTGAAAATCGGATGAGATTTGACCGAGTTATGGGGGTGGTAAATTTTGACCCATGGGTATATACGAATCTTGGGGTAAGATTTGGACATGAGTTTCGACTAAAAAA